ATGGCCGCCTCTGGCCTCGCTCCAGCAGCTCCACATCCCTCTTGTGCTGTTCCCCAGAGCTGGATCAGGGCTGCAGGGGGGGTGTCCCCAGAGCACAGCAGAGGGGCAGGATCCCCTCCCTGAGCTGCTGCCATCCCAGCAATCAGGGCTGGAATGGGCTTGCCCAGGTTGCTCAGTCCCTTCCCTTGCCAAAAGCGGGGCAGGAGGGAAGATTCCCTAGAGCTGCACCACGTCTGATAACCCACTGTTGTAGTCAGAGGGAAGAAACCCCTGTGGACAGCCTGAGGATCTCTGTATTGCAACCACAGCCACAAGAAGCATCAGTACTTTTAACTGGCTTTGGTATCATCTCCCACCCACTTCACGTCTGGACCAGGGCTGGCTGAAGACAAAGACAAGGCTCAGAAGAGAAGTGAGCTCCGACAACAACATGATTCAGCAACCAAACACAGAGCGGCTGCGTCCATATGAACCTATCAGCCCAGTCACCACCAGTTCCAAACATCAGCACAGAGGAGTTGTGCTGGTTAAATGTGTGCAGAGACAGGCATTGAGCTCAGAGTGAGCAGGATCTGTAGTCAAAGCAAAACTATGTGCTTTGGCATACAGGAAATAGCTCTTTCCAGCAATCCCAATGCTACTGTGATGGCCAAGGCACCAATGGCTTGGTCTGGAGCACATAATCCAGGAACTGGGTTTGATTTGAGTGAGCCCTGTGATTAACTCAAACTGCATCTTCTGCTCCTGCCAAGCCTTGGGATTTTCCATTGTGAAAGTTTCCACTGATCCTCAATCCAACAACTGGAACAAATCAAGAGAGATTGCACAGAATCATCAAATCCCAGCCTGGTTTGGGTTGAAGGGACCTTAGAGCTCCAGTCTCAATCCCCTGCCACAAGCAGGGACACCTTCCACTAGAACAGGTTGCTCCAAGCTCATTCCTATCCCCACAGGCCTTTGTCCAAAGCTGGTAATTTGGGGGGATTTTCTACATGTCCCCATTTTTCATGAGTCAAAGAGAACATCTCTCCTCTCTGCATTTAATTTCACCACAGCCTGTGCTATCCTTCACCTAACATCATTCATCTTTGCCTGCAGCTCCCTCAAACAGGAGAAGAAGAAACCACAACAGGAGCATTAATACTCTTCACACAGTCACAAAATGCATGTGGCTTGAAACAGCCAAAAGGAATTATTTCCCCTCGACCCCCCCAGTGCTGCTGCTGTCCCTGTTGTCACCTCTTAGTGAAGCCAGGACTATGTGAGCCCCTGCACCTCTTCTGTGTGTCAGGGCTGAGAGCTCGGCACGGAGCAATGTCACATTCAAGAGGCTGTTGAATTCTTTATTATTTTCTACTCACTTCTCAAATGTTAACAACAAAATAGAATTCCAGGGAGCCCAGAGGATTCAGAAACAGTCATTCATCTTCCAGTGGGGCTTTTATGGGATACAAAACGGATTTGCTTTTCCATGGAGGGTTTTGTTGGTTTAAGCTCTCACAAAGTGGAAAAGCAAATGAAAGGGATGAGAGGCAAAGGCAAGGAGTTACCACAATGAATCCCTCAAAGCCAGATCCTCCAACGTTACTTCAGCACGGAGGAATGTGGCTTTACCAAGATCATTCATGAGTATGACAACAGGCACATGCTTAACCAGCCCGTGAAGTGAGACTCTGGACATAACACACTGTATTACTTCATCTCTAACAGTTTGACCACAGGAATCATCTGGAAAGGACCAAGAATTCTGCCAGTCTTCAGGATACAGCTTGGGAAAAGTGCTATTTGGATCTCAGCTCCATTTACTCCATCAGCAACTAAACCAGGGGTGGACATTACATCAAGGTCATAGTAATGGAAGAATTAACACAGTGACTTACAGAGGGAAGTGCTGGGGGTGAACAATTGCTCTTTTAACACCTGAGTGCCAATGGGTGGCGTGCCAGGAGAGAGGAGAGCTCTCTGGGATGAGGCTTGTCTCTAATCCAGGCATTTCCCACCCTGACGGGTCAGGGAAGGGACACAGAGCAAGGCCACAACCACTGTGTCCGGGGCTCACATGCGAATGAAGCGGAGGAGATGAGGGAGGTCTCCATCAGGGTGAACACCAAAGTCCAACCAGGCTTCGCCAGCTCTTCACACCATCTCCCTTCACCCCACCTGCACCTCTCGAAGGCCAAGAATTCATGACAGCTCTTGTCACAGGACGTAGACATCACAGCTCCCCAAATCAGGCCAACAACAGAACTCTGCCTCAGCAAAACAGCGTTAAACGCTGCTTTCATCATACAGCATCGAGGGGGTATGGACACAAGGCAAAGGAAAAAGGGATTTCAGACATCCACTGGCAAAACATTGAGGAAAACTGCTCCAAAACGTGTCTGCTTGCTCTTAGAGTGATTGCTTTCAGCAACCTGGCCAACTGTCTGTGGATAATTTAACCCTGAAGCAAAGCTCTCCGTGCAACTATGGCATTTACATGGATATCTGGAAGGCAGGCAGCAAACTGGGCGAGGGTGACAGTGAAAACAAGGTCTTTCCTCCAATACTGGGGAGTACTGGAGCAATGCAGCAGCAGCTCCACCTCTGCAGCAGCAGGACTGGCTCCAAACTCTTCCAGGGTTTTATTTCACTAGCATCTTCCATTTCTTTCATCCAAAAGGTGCTGCTCTCTGCTCAGTTGTGTGTAGCGGTGACAAGGAGGGAGGCAGAAACATTCCAGGCCAGTTGAGCATGTTGTTACTGCTGCTCTTGGGTCTTCCCCATAAACAGAGGCCCAGAGGCTCCTGCCTGTTATCTGTCTGCAGCAGACGGAGTTATCCAGGATGTTTTTCTCAGCAAGAACTTGAAAGGAGTATTAAGAAAGCTGCAAGACTCTGCCATGGAGCTCAGGGTCCCCCCTCATCTTTTTGGTTTACAGTCCCATCCAACCTTGCTCAGGGAACAGCATCTGGGCTCTTCCTGCAGCTTAACCCATAAGGTTGGCATTGGTGAGGCAAAACCTGAGCTCCCAATGAAGCCAATTCCTTGTTGCTTTAGGGGAAAGAAACGTGTATAAAAAGCAAACCTAAGGGGCACTTCAAAAATGATGAGTCAATTCCATGGAGAAATCCTGAACCCTTTGGCTACGCTGCAATGTCCTCAGTGGCTCTGGACTGCCAACAGCCCCTTTGCAGTTGGGTCCAAGAAAGCCTGAGAATTGATGGAGTTATGATCAACTACTTGGGATTTCAGGAGGTCCTTCCTTGTGGCAGCAGAGAGGAGCCCACTTCTGAGGGCCTGAAGAGCTTCTCGTGGTCTTCAGTTCAAGCTGCTCCCCAGGAAGGAAGTCCCTAAACATTTACACATTCTGGAGAACTAGTTCTAAGGGGATGAATCTGACACCAACTTCTCACTGCCGCTGAACTGGAGAGATGAAAGGATATGGATACATCACAGTGGCCTCTGGTGCAGTTTATTTACAACAGGACTCAGTGCTGGAGAACACCAGGGTATTAACAAGCAGGAAACACACTAGGAGGGAAAAAGGAGAGTGGAAGAGAGGTCACACGTTAAAATCAAGGTATTCTCTGCAGATTGGCTCTGAAAAAGCCTAAATTTAGCTGATAAACAAGGCCAAAAAGAGTCTATCACGCAGAATAAAAGCAGCATTGATGCACTTAACAGTAACTTGTAAGCTACATTAAGTAGTGAGAAGCACAAAAGCTGCATATGTGGCTGTCTATGGCTTAAAGGACACACAAGCCACCTCCCTTCCTCCAACCCTCTTGTTTTAAACCTGCTTTTGCTACATTCATAATAGCAGGAGCAAGAGGCTGGACCTTCCAGTCAGCACAGGCTGCCCAATACCTGGTGGAGATCCAATATGACACTGCAGTGCTTTGGTCTTCTCCCTTTCCCACTACACATCAACCTACACCATATCCTTGCATTGGGTTTAAAATATGCAGCCCACAGTCCTGCATTTCTACTGCTTAATCCCCAAAGGCACAGGATGAAGGAGGATGAGAGGAAGAGATCATCCAGCAATACCTCTTTAGTGGTGCCAGTGTTACAGCACCACGTATTTCGGGGCTTATAGCTTTTGTTGAAGACTTCTTAGCTAAAAGCAGGATGATTTTTCAGGACTGCTTAAGAAACTGCTTAAAAACCTGCTTATTTTACCATCCACCTGAAAGATGATCCCAAAACAGATCAGCACCTTCTGAGGTTGGTTTATTTACTAGTTTATGGTGCGTAACTAAGATTTGGGGAGTTTTTCCAATCAACCTTATCAGTCACAACCTACCCTCTCTACTGTGACCTGGCAGAGACCTGGTTTCTCCTGTTCATTCTGATATGAAAACATACAAGGAAGTCTGCAAAGAGAAGCACATCCTTTACCTGTCTAATCCCACCAGTATTTCTTGGCCAAAGAAGTGTGGTGCAAGTTCTTTCCAAAACACAGGGCCTTGATTCCTTAAGTAAAATATTATTTAAACTAAATACCGTAACATTTGTACTTCTGCCTCCTGGTAGGCTGTAAAGAACAAAACTGGCTTGGGACTATTTGCTCCTCCCATCCAAGGAAGGAGATTTCATTAAGATAATTGAATACGGGAGAAGTTTAGAGAGAACATAATAAACATCAATTCACAGAATCCCAGCCTGGTTTTGGTTGAAGGGCCTTAAAGCTCCTCCAGCTCCAACCCCTGCCCCGGGCAG